CCAAGTTGTTGCACTTTGGAAATTGAACCCGCCTATGAAACATCAGCCCATTCAAATATGGACCAGGGGGCTTTTCAAGAATCATTTAATAAAGCACCAAAGTAAATAGGCATTCGGCTGTCAGCGGAACTCCATGCCACCACCATATGCAAGAAAAAACAGGACCGCGGAAGCAAAAGCTAAGTGGCCATTATGCTTTTTCCTCAGGGTATAAGCCTAACTGTAGTGATATGATACTTTGTTCAGCCGTGTAAGGACTCTAGCCTCCACAGGTTGCACTTCCACTCTATGGGATAGGCTTGAAGTCGCGTTGATAGCTTCCCAGCCAGCCCATCTGTGCATTTGTAAGATACGTTACTCCTTGGTACCTTGGGTTACTACGTCTTTGGTAAAGGGCAGCACTACATGACACTTATTGGGGTACTTGTATGAGACGGGATTGAGTGTAGCATCCTGAGTCTTCCCCAAGTTCATACGAAGTCTTAACAGCACGACAAAAAGCACACCACCAACGCATATCGTACATATGTATGTCAGTATAATGTTATGGTACCATAATATGTATGTGTACCATTGTGTTGTATATTTATAAATCAAATATATCAAGGTGGCATATGTACGAAAAACTGGGGGGAGACTACCGGCATGAGCCGAAGGTCATGCCATCCAGTGGAAGTGACTGACACAGAGGTAAAAGTATAGCGAAGGATCAGATGATAAATATGGTGGTTTAGTAAGTTTTGTAGGACATTAAATGAATAGCAAATTATTGAATTGAGTGAAAATTGACTACTAAAATATTTTATGAGAAACAAACATTACAGGTTGTTGAACGAATTGCTAAAATTCGCAAGATTCCTTACTAATTGCTTTGTTGGTAGCATGTTTTGCATCAGTTCTACTCGGTCTTTAAAGCGAGGCGCCTACGAAAATTAGTAATGGATGTTCCAGGTAATAATACTTGGGAATTAAAGTCATAATAGTCCGACGCCTTGTTTTAATGATTCTTCATACTCGGAGGCGATTTAACGCTGCCCTCGTGATGGTTTTGCCTAAGAAGATTGTGGTAGATGGGCTCCCTTTTTGTGATTATATTCCACGGCCATTCACCTCATTGGCTCAAAACAAAAAGGGACTAATCGCTGCTTCTAGACTAGATGGTTCGATTGATGTGTATGACGAAAATGATCATTTCTACTTGCTCCACCACATTCCACCTTGGATTCTAACTTCTATATATGCCCTTTGTTGGTCAAATATGCGACTGTTTGCAACTGGTGGAGAGGGTCGTGTTTTTGAGTTGAACACAACCTCAATCCAACCGACGGTATGTACAAACTTTCCCTCGATTTTTCTAGGCGAACTTACTTCTGCCTGGAGGTCTTCCAGCTCGTTCGCTTGTATCACATGATGAAATGCTCGTCTCTGGCAATGATGGTGGATACATAAATCTCATTGAAATAACTGACGGATCCCTTGAACTTAAGTCGTGTCTTGCCAAATTGGAAGGTTTGTACTTACCTCCATGTTTATGTTGCATTTAGGAAAAATCCTGAGTTTGGCTGTAGATAAGAAAAGCGGATATATTGTTGCTGCCGGTGATTCGAAAGGAAATGTCCATTTATTTGATTTAAGAAATAGTACAACTCTTTCAGTCTATTCCATTGGCGATGAACATTGCGCTGATCCGCCCATTGTTTGGTCGTTACTTTTCGTGGGGTAAGTTTTAATGAATAACTAACACTGTTTATGTCTATTCTAATGAGTTAATTTTCTGCAAAATTATTTCCTGCTAGAAATACACTCTTCTCTGGTGACAGCCGTGGTAATGTTTGCGTATGGGACGTCGAGCTTGGAGCCCTCGTTTCCAGTTTTAGAAGTCATGCTGCCGATGTTTTGGCCCTCGCTGTCAGCGAAAACAACCAGTCCATTTTTGCCGCTGGTGCCGATCCCATTATTCAACGTTTTGATCTTTGCCAGACTGCGCATATATGTAAGTCATTCTAATTTTGCGTCCCTTAAGTGAACTGCTAGTTGTATCTAATTTTCTGCACTATTGTTGTTATAGCGCAATGGCAGCCAAGTGGTGTCATAAGAGGCAGTCGACGCGACATTCGTAGTCTGGTTTTCGTTCAACACGGCGAATCAGGCGGTCTTCGCTCTTGCAGCGCGGAAATTGATCACCTCATTGCGGCGGGCAACGATGCTCGACTTCAAATACTTCCCTGTCCTCAGTCCAGTCCAGGAGACAAAAAACCGATACCACGGCGCAAATTAAAGAAAAACGATGCCCTTAATGTTCCTCCACCAATTTATCTGCCTTTCTGGCCTCTTTCAGTTACTCCCACTCTACCTCTGGCTGCCCACTTTGCGCATTCGACCTTCACGCCAAATTACCGTCATTCTGCTCGCCTTTGCCTAGTGCAGCATGCCGAGTATATGTGTCTCTATCGTCTTCCTCCAAAAGCAAAACGAATGTCTCAGTCAAAAATGTCTGTTCGATATTTCACTAAACTAGCTCACATTCAACCAAAGATGGGAAACCATATCATATCTTGTTGCATATCGTCTTGTGGAAGGTTTATGGCTTATTCAGACGACGTTCGTGCGCGGATTTTAAAGATTGAGCATCCGGTAAGCGGTAGTTCACATAAAAGCTTCCAAAGCCTAGTTTTTCGTTATAGTAATGACCAAGATTTTTGGTATTTGGACTCACAGAATTCTTGGAAATTTAACCCAGATGAGCCAGCTCCATTGGTGGCTATCTCGCGCTTGGGTTGGCCTAGGATCCCACGAAGTTTTCAAAGCCGAGCATCATCCACGTCTTCCGATGCTGACAATACAGATTCCGAGGATGGTTCTTCACGATTCCTTTTCCTGGACCAATCCTCCGCTGATCTTTTTGTTACTAATGCAGCTGGGGGTGACGCTGATTTCGACGAGCATCTAGTCTCCAGAAAACGGAAGATGGCCGCGCCTACGAACAAATATCCTTCCGTTGAGGAATGCCATCAAGATGAGGTCTCTACACTGCCCCCCGCCTCTCTTATGGCCTTCTCTCCATCTTCTATCTGCCTCGTTTGTGTAAGTGTCCCCACTCAACAAGTCGTCTGCCGCCGACTCGATACCGGTGCGGAGGTCTGGAATTTTACACCCCAAACATGTGAGTTTTTTCTGGAAAGACGCTGCTTTAGCCTAAACTGAAAGGTGCCACAAACATTATTTCTCAACCCCCTAGGCTTTTATTGTGCCGGTGGTAGAAATATCAGACTCCATTCCCGTGAAGCTAGCGTCGTTTTATTTCCTCTATAGCGTCCATGAGCGGAACACCCAGTCCAATCCACTTACTAAAAATGGCTCAACTCTGCTCGGAGTCAAAGGATAGTGGGTCTGTGACTCTGCTTGCGGCGGCTTCTCTGGATGAACGAGTGTCGGTATACGCGTTCAACGAGGCAAGCAGTGGCCAAAGTCCGCAGCACCTTTTCACATGTCCTCTAGCCGCAAATCCTTCCCGGCCGGGTCATCACCCGCGCCCGTTGGCGATCGCGCTGCACGTCAGCAAACACAATATGGTAGCGGCGGAAGAAGGCGGGGAAGTGGAGGCTACGGAAACGAACGAGGTAAGGGCTCGGGTTACTGTCCTTTACACCACCGGCCAACTCACTGAATGGATACTTCCCTTGCGCCTATCCGGGGGTGTGGTTCATCTCGTCGGCACTCCGCAGATTGACGCCTGGCTGGAGGAGTTCTGGCGACGCCATGGTGTCACGTGGCGACGCTACATGCCCAGGTTTCATTCCTTGGATTACTTCTTTGACAGTCATATTCTCATGCTGGCTTCGCGGCGCTTCTGTCTTGCTGTTGATCGGCGCAAAGTGAGTCTTACATCAACGCTACTAAATCTTAATGGGAATTCATTGGAGCTCTCGTAGTAAAATCTGCGCTATTTTATTTCCATAATTGTCTTGTTCGCCCCAGCAACTCAACTCAAAAGATATTCACCTGGCATTCCGTGGGCGGCACCGAAAACTTACGGATGGTTGTCTGCGAATTTTCGGACAAGTAAAGGTATGTTAGCTCTAGCGCAGTCTATTAGCTCAATTTAGTGTTAACTCATGCACTGACTTTCAAGTAGGTGTTCATTCCCGACCCTTTGCTAGGAAGTGATGCCAGCGTTCATGACATGTGCCGAAGTTGTGCATTAAAACCGATTGAGCCGGGTGCCATTCCTTACTAGGGATTCGTAATTACTTGAGCGTGTTTTCTTCTGTAGAACATGTTGCACTGCACAGTGTTGGCTGATCGAGTCGCTGCATTCCAAATGGATGCTCGTACTGCCATCAACAATTTGCCGGCGCCCTTGAAGAAAAAACGCTTTGGAACCTAGCTGCACCACCGCAATCAGTATCTATGCTCATCCCACTGGGTTTATGTACGACTGCAAGTATGATGCAGCAGACTTCCTCCAAATTGGATCGTCTTATGATTTTTTGAGGATGGATTGATCTAGTATGCCTCCCAATTGAACTTTTTTCAGCATCACCTTTTCGGCAAATCTAGCATGCATTGTTCCAATGATCCACCTTCACGATTTTACACAAAGGCATTGCGTTCACTTCAAACTCTCTGAAGGTCTAAGTGTAGTGACCCACGAAAACAATGAGTTCACGAGATAAAGTTAAGGCATGGATAAGCGGTCTGGATTCTGTAATTGCACAGGATAAGTCCGATGCTCATTCAATGCTGCGCATGGATGCAATAATTGCCTGTGTCTTCCTTTTCCGTAGTTCGTCACTAAAATCACAGAAAAAAGACGTTAGACATTTTTCCAGCAAAGAGCCAAGTGACCGTTAGCCTTAGCTGTCTTTCTACCTTAAATGTTTCATTAAAGCCTGACAAACACGATTTGACGATTCGGAATCAACGGAAGCGAATAATTGTAACACAAGGCCGTGAGCGGAAAAGGGATAGTGGAGGCAGCCTATCATTATCGAATTGCTATTACTTGGTAAGATTTATTGAACAATCCAATGAGCGAGAATCGTGGGCTCACCCCGCCTTAGTCTTCTTCCTATCGTAGTTGGCAAGAAACTGGGCATCCCTCCGCAGCTCACGAACGGTGTCCCGCCTCTCCTTCGCCAGTTTCTGCCTCAACTTCACATTCGTAGGTTTCTTCTTGGGTCTTCTAGCGTCCAGTCTAGAGGAGAGGAGCGATTTGTCCGATGATTTTGTCTAACAATGCAGTGATCACAGAAAGAACAACTTACTTCTGCTCAAAGTCGGGCTCCAGCTGAGGCACAAGCCCTGCCTTCTGCAGAGCTTGAGGCGTAGCGTTCTTGTCGGCCAGCAGCAACGCGATCTTGTCCGCAGGGCCAATGCCCTCCGGCCGCGGCTGCGCCCTCAACTCGTCCACCCTCTCGCGCAGTTGTTGAGCTTTCATCTCAATGCCCGCGGGCAAACGATCGGTACTTAGGCGATCAAGTGAGAGGCCAGAAAAGGCCTGACAGACTGCAGGCGCTGGGAGATGAGTAGTGTAGACTTCGAGGAAGGAGTTGGTTAGAGAAAGACACTTATCCAGGCAGCCCAGGCGATATGCTGCTACCTCATTCTCGGGAATGGGCCTTTGTCTCAGAGCCACACGAGTATCGAGACTGCTGTAGACTGACCTACAACAATGAATGGGGGTTATTTTGGCTACGTGAACTTACTGTTCTACGGAAGACGCATCCTCGGAGATAAAGAGAACCCCATTTTCCCTGTCAACTTCATTGATAAGACGTGAGAGGAAACGTATGGCTTCAGGGACGAAAACTCCATTCAGACAAGCGCGTTTAGAAAGCTTTATGCTCTGCCCATCTTCTCTCTCTAGTTTCCTTAAAATGACATCCATCAGGAGGATCTGAGTGAGCAAAAGACCACGCACAACGTCTGAAAGTTGAGTTACTATGAGGCTCCGCAATTCTCCAGCGATCCAAGATACCATGATCGGCTCGCAAGATCTGATGCTACACAGAAGACGAAGTAAAACATCCTCTGTCTTCGGGTGTTCTGAGGTGTCCATTGACGAGTTTTCTTCTCTGCAAAAAGATGCAACGTCTTTAATGCTGTAGGTATTGAGGCAGTGCTCCTATTATGGACAGACTGATTGATTCAGCAACTCAACCAAGCATTGCAGCAGAAGGGACCTTACAAAGGTGTTGTTGATTACTTACCCAACTCTTCTCGCAACAATAGATTCGAGGTTCACGAGCAGTCGATTGTTCTTCATTACCTCACTTTCGACCTTGACACCGATGGGGGCGACGGTCTTGCCCGAAGAAAAGCCTTGCAGCAGTCGCAAAACTTCAGAACGACCCTTTTCCATTTTCTCTGCAGCTTTAGCATTCTGGATGTTTCGAGGAAAGATCTAGTTATTGGATATCTAACTCCTGAAGAGTCAGATATGTAGTGAATTAGAGCTTGAGCTAATCTACGTCACATTTATTCAAGGTTAATTTAGGTAAGGCAACAACTAGGCATCGGATCAAGATAAAAAGAAACGTATTTGACACAGGTTGTTATGGAAATCACAGTGGATGAATGAATAAGAGCGAAGAAGTCTCACCTTTGGTTTGAGTTTGCTGAGTTCGGCTAGCATAAAGCGGACCTTATCCGCCCACTCGGAGTCTGCATTTTTGAGCTTCTGACGGTTAACCTCATTCTCCTCTACACGCTTCAACCGCTCCTCCTTGGTCTGGGCAATCCTCTCCAACAGACTATCGTTCTTGCTCTGCCGACCGCTCTCGCCCGATTCCACAGCAGTTATTAGGCCACCAGCGAACAACTCGTTCTCCACAATATCAGCTGGTACAGGCGAGTAAAAATAGCGTTTGATCATATCAGAGGATTTATTGTCACCGTTGGCATCCGACAATGCCAACATCGGGTGCCCGTAGCTCTGATCATGCCTTGATCCTATAGATTCTTTATACCATTGCAATAGTCCCATTCATGAATCTCCAAGCATTAACTTTAAGCGCGATTCGGAGAGAACATATTAGGTGGAATCAAATTTGCGCTAACATAAGGAAAGATTATGAAATACTAAGGACATCTATTGTGAATTGTACTGTTATGACTTACCAGAAAGACCTCCCGAGTCATCATCAAAGGAAGCGTGTTTGCCGGTCTTCTGAGCACCCATCGCTGCTTTACTGAACAAGTCATCGTCCACTGATATTGTACCCAGCGTATCCATTTGACGCTGAAAGCAAGGCAATGGTGAGGCACAAGATATGCAAGGAAGTTTATGCCAATAAGTGTTGAGCACTCACTGATTTGGAGTAATAGAACTGACCACCATCTTAAATAACTTACCAACTTTTCAATAATGTGCCGACGCAAGGCAGCATCGGATGACGGAATTGATGAGTCCTTTGTGCCAACACGTTTGTCAATCACGCCTCCAACCTTACCTAACGCCCTTAGTTGCTTTGTCAGGATCCTCTCCCTCTAAATCAATGGAACTTTAAGAAATATAACCTACGAAGTTAACCTTTGCCTTCGTTTTTCCAGCCTTCACTTCTTTCTCATTTTTGCGTTGTTTCGAGATCTGCAGCTTGGACTTGGCCATTGTGCTGGACTAAGAAAAGAGGTTAAAATCACCGCCTGTGGGAAGGTCTACACCACTGGGCCCATATAAATAATAGTAATAATAATAGAGGTCTGCAGACACATATTGGGCATAAGACATATTCCCACGGTTATGTGGAAACAATAACCTGTAAAAAACCTCGATGCTCGATGCAAGTGTCAACCGTGGTCATATTGGGGATGTTAAGAAGATCGAAAAACTACTGCAAAAAAACAATGACCCACCTCAAAAACCCAAAACAGGCCACGAGTTCGGTGAGTTCAAACTGCCGAAGCGCTCCGATTTACTTAAACAAATTAGGTGCAATAGCTATCCAAATAAGCATTTTACTGTTCACAACACAGAGTGTTCGTCTTATGTTATGTTCTATATTGGGTTATCAGAGAAGCTGCTCACTGTGTAGTCCTAACAATTGGGAAATTATTTTGTGTTAGATCATTAAATTTAAAAGTCCAGTGGCTTTATTCCCCTAACGCACTTTAAATTGAATATCTTTTGAAAACAATCGTTCAGTAGAAGGTCCGAAACCGTCTTCTGCTGCCAAATGTGGGACTAATTATCAATTTGTACTACTAAAGACTGGAAATTATGTAATTATTCCTTGCTTTAAATGAGGCTTTAATCGTGAATTGATATGCAAAATGCAAATTAGACTGTTTTCAATTTATGACTGTGCTTATGGGAGCGCATTTTTCCCCGTCTGGCGTCCCCGTATAATGTTCACCCTCGCAAATTTGGTTCTAATTAGGCCTTTGGTATTTCGATAACCATTTATCTCTGGAGTGATAGGTTAACTTAGTGACAAGCATGGAAACCAAAGCTGTAGAGTCCAAGGGGCTTACTCATTCATACACAAAAGTAAAGCAAAACACATTCTCTTACTAGTTTATGAACACTGCGCCCATCAAAGAAACAACTCCTTGCCCTTATTGCTATCAAGCATCATAGACTATTTTTGTGTGAAATTCAAGCGCGCATTGGTCATAAGTTGCAGATTTTATGCCAGTGGTGATTTTATTGTCAATTATATTTTCCGAAGTAATTTGCTTATGTCCTGGTCATCGACATTCTATCAAATTTACTATACTTGACTGACATTCACAACGTAAACATCAATTTCTCACGAAGTGAGTCATTGCCTGTAAATTCCTACGCATCATCTGGTTAGTTAAGCCTTAATCCAGTGACGGTAAGTACGGATAACAACTGCAATAAGTAGTTATTAGGTTGCGAAAAAAACCACACGCACGGTTGAGCGCCATCAAAATAATGTAAATAAAGAAATCATGAGTATTCATATGCACAAAAAAACGTTTTAATGTTGGTTTACTGTAACTGCGATCTATTGACGACTTCAAGTATCATACTTTTAGTTCTTACAATAAAATTATGCTTTCGGAGGATATTTTGCCTATATGCACCACCCTGACGCCTCATACATTAAGATTATTTTATCTCTCAATACCAGATATGCGGAACTCTAGCTGAGCAATTCGTCCAATTCTCACCCGTAAGGAACATACAATAGGGATATTTGGGGTCAGTAATTTCTTCATCTTGCACAATGGAAATTCAACACAACGGCAAAATCATGTAGTTCTGAAGAGGAGGAAGAAAATGTTGGGATGGGATTCCTGCAGGTAGATATGGAAGGACCATTCCTCTAATGGCTAGATATGCATTCAAGTGTGCCAGAGGTAACAATTAGGGTTCATTAAAGGTTTAAAATTAATATAATTTCGAACTGGGGATGGTTTGCTCATAAATCAGAATTTCAGTAGGCTTGATGGTAGGCGTCATCTTTTGCTTCCGACCGATTACTCGCCCTAAACGTCTGTGTCATGTAGGACCTTGACGGATTGTCATTGTGGACATTACTGCTTCTCGGGGCATTTTCTTTTAGTGGTTGTCGCAGGGATGCCTCCAGATTACCTCCTTCCTCATTTCCATAGTCGTAACCGGATTGAACTATGTTCTCTGGAACGTCAGTCGGTGACTTCCAGTCCATTATTTGCGCATCCTCTGCAACTTCCGCCCAGTGCTGCTTCTCACCGGATGCAAAGATCGCGTAGAAAGTGACACCAAAGAAGTGGACAGAGCTAGCCATGATGAAGACCCACATCCACTGACGCTTTGTCTACAAGTCTCAGGAATTATCAATCTCTCTTTTTTATTACAAGTAAAATTAAGGGCTTTTTAGAAGCAGCTTACCCCTTGAGTGGTTATGTACTCCACAATTACGGGACAAAGAATGCCGGAGATGGTGCCGATGCCATTAGAAAGGCCCATCAAAATACTTGCGTATCTTGGTGCGATGTCGAGATGGTTCACGTTGTATCCTAGCAAAAAAAGTACATTAAATATTCCTCATAAGATGATGACTACTGGGTATTTTCCTTCAAAACAAGACCTACCTGAAATGGCAAAGCCGCTAAATGAGACAGCCAGGATGAGGGAAGCCATTGCTGTGGTGTAAGAATTCGCAAAAGCCACAATCAACAGGAAGAAAGCCTCCATTCCGAAGCCTAAAATGGATGATAGTCAGCAATAGTGGGGTAATTTATACTGAGTAATTGCGGATTAGCTTGTAGAAGCACTCCACGGTAACAAAAAGGCTTCCATGTAAATAATTTACGCAATCCTTTAGTACAATAACCAAAATGGGCTATTTGAAGATCTACCTTCAAAATTAAACATGTTAGATCCTAGAAATTGACTACCAAACGCAGAAATAAATAAGGAAATTTATGCCGTATTTAACAAGGGTGCGAGGAGATAAATTTGAATGGTGGGAGCTAGTAACTAGAACAATAGTAGGAGCAAAGCTACTGTCCAATGACCAAAAAGTTCG